CTTTAGGGTTTTTGGGCTTAAGGTTTAGGCCTTGGGGCTTTAGGTTTTTGGGCTTAAGGTGTAGGCCTTGGGGCTTTAGGTTTTTGGGCTTAACGTCTAGGGCCTAGGGCTTTAGGTTTTTAGGTTTAGGGCCTTGGGGCTTTAGGTTTTTGGGCCCAAGGTTTAGGGCCTAGTGCTTTAGGTTTTTGGGCTTAAGGTTTACGGCTGATGGCTATAGGTTTTTGAGCTTAAGGTTTAGGGCTGAGGGCTGTAGGTTTTTGGGCTTAAGGTTCAGGGCTTAGGGCTTTAGGTTTTTGGGCTTCAGGTTTAGGGCCTAGTGCTTTAGGTTTTTGGGCTCAAGGTTTAGGCTTGGGGCTTAGGTTTTTGGGCTTAAGGTTTAGGGCTTGGGGCTTTAGGTTTTTGGGCTTAAGGTTTAGGCCTTGGGGCTTTAGGTTTTTGGGCTTAAGGTTTAGGCCTTGGGGCTTTAGGTTTTTGGGCTTCAGGTTTAGGGCCTAGGGCTTTAGGTTTTTGGGCTTAAGGTTTAGGGCTTAGGGCTTTAGGTTTTTGGGCTTAACGTCTAGGGCCTAGGGCTTTAGGTTTTTGGGCTTAAGGGGCGTTAGGGCTCAAGGCTTAAAGTCTAGGGCTTGGGGCTTTAGAGGTTAGGGCTTAAGGCTAAAGGCTGGATTAGGGCTTCATGTTTAATTAAAGCTCAAAGCTAGAGGTTTTTTGGGTGTAGGGCATTGGGTATGTCCTTACCCAGCTGTCTCAGTAATTACCTACCTATCTGACTGACCCGTACCCGGATGCCCGAAACCCCCTCCAATATCTAAACTCGGCCCTAGATTTCGGGTTTCTATGTTAGGGAGGGGGGCTTGCGATTACTTTCAACATGTTACAATCAACGGCTAAGACGGGAGATGGCGTTGCTGACCTGCTCGCTTTGTCAGGGCATGTTGCTGGGATCCTTCTTTTGGGGCTACCTTGCTGGCAACATGTGTGCTGGCAACTCTGCAGCAGAAGGAGAGGTGCGCAGTCTCTCATTCAGACTTCGTCTCGTGCCACCGTCCTGCTGTTAAGGTCCCGTGTCGTCGCGGTACGGTGCAGGGCTGGTCTTAGCGTTTGCTGCGATCTCTTGGAGCTCCCTTGCGATTGCCATTCCGTGCCTCGTTTGTGTTTGCAAGCATGTCTTCGCGGTGTACAGACATGTACAGACTGTGAAGAGCTGCGTAAGTGCTGAGGATGGCCTCCGATCTCGGATTCTGGCATGTCTGGCTTCTCCACATTCTGCTGGGATTAGCGGCATCGCCGGTCATGCCCACCACCATGCAACTGATCTCCGCCTACGTGCCGGCACTACGACCGAACTGGCAGTCATGAGGGAGGGCGAAGGATCACGCTTGTAATTGTGTGGCCGGCTAGCATGGGCAAGGGTGCATAAGGGTGCAATGTCCAAATCGGTGGCCGAGGCATCTGAACGCGGATGCTCGCTTGCTGCACGGGCATTGGCCTTCCGCTTTGGGCAAATCGTGGCATCCGTTTTGGCGCCACTAATCTGCTCGCAGGCTCCAACAGCCAGTAGTGGGCAGTCTTCTGGTAGTGCAATCCCTTGTGTATGGGTGTGCAGGTTGGGTCGAAACTTGACTGCTTGCATAGCCATGGAAGCCCCAGATGCGGGCTTGAAGCATTTCTCGTTGGGTTTCTGTAGTCTGTTTCCCCTTCGATACATTGGCTTGTGCAAGGCAGGCTGGCGAGCGAGCTTCTGCATCTTTGGCACAGTCAGCTTTCTGTTGCCTCAGCAGCAATATTCTCCCAGTAGAACTGAGCGCCTAGCTGCCTAGCAGGGCCTAGCACCTCTAGCGCTGCTGCTCTTGAAGCAAGGTTTTCCATGCTGTGGCTTGGCTTTGCGATGACGAAGAAAGACAGCAGAATTGAAGTCCGGAAGACTTGCCAGGCACGGGAACAGGTGTGTTTTGCGTTTTTTTTGCAACCGTGGGAAGTGCAGGGCGACGACTCCTCGGAAGAGCCAGTCCAAGGCGCAGTCCTGTTCCCCTGGTCACCTGGTCGTGGAGTCCTTGAGCGCTGGCGTTACAGGCGTCAAGTCGGACCACTGCTTCTTACCGCTGCATGCGACGCTTGGCAGAGAAGTGTCATTCAGACCAGAGTCAATACTCGTCTGTGCCGAGGTTGAGAAAGAGAGGTTTTCTTGCACTCCTGGTGGTGCACTGTCGCATTGCTGCAATTGGACAGCTTGGGTGAGGCCGTGTGAGGTTCGTGAGCTGTTAGCTCGACAGACTCTAAAGCCGCCTACAGGCAGCAACAATTTCGCCATGTACACCATTATGCCGCGCACTCAGCTGCTCCTTGTTGAGGTGGAAGGATATCTGTGCGAGTTTTCTTTTCCATTGCAGGTCATGGGGTCCCTCCTACTTCACGGAGGCATCGAAGGGATTCACAAGTTTTGCTTCTGCGGGGTCACGGCCCTGCAATAGTGTTTTTTTTTTCTGCGTCCAAGGTGCTGCAGCTGCCCCTCGAAAGTGTCGGTCTCTACCTCATGCTACCTGCCGCATTTTCAGGCCTGGGAATTTGGCTTGCTGTTGTCCTTCTAGAAAGGAGAACCGTGCGACACAGAGCTGAGCCTGTGACTTACATTAGGTGTTGGCTCCGTGATTGGCGGACTAATCACGGACTGGCTTCAGAGCCGTCGCTGGCCGCCGTTGGCCATGCGCCGATGGACAGGGCTGACGTCTGAAGAAAGCCACGGCCCGCTGAGATTCCTTACCGCCTTGCAGGATTTTATGCCCTGCAGCCTTGGGGGCTGGCGTGTCACTTGTGCCATGCCCAGTTGCAGATCCGTGTTGCAAATGCGGTCTATGATTCCTGCATTCAGATTTCAAGGTACGGAAAGAGGAAGCCAGTAGCAATGCTGTTCGTTGCAGTAAGAATAGTAGCAGCCGTGCAATGCAAGAGCATTCGATCCGTGTTCACTCTCTCTTCCGCTAATATGCATGAAAGTAGTAAAGTGAGAGGGCTCACCTTGACGGACTACTGAGATTCAGACTCGGATATGTACCAGCCTAGAACCTAATGACCGGGAGAGTGCCTGATCCCATTGTAGGCATTCGATGTCGGGAAGTAGGTGGAGGCCCGTTTCCAAGACCCCCCTCCCGCCCCGCCCCACCAACCGGGCAGGATGAATTTACATGGCCCCTTCAAGCCCAAAGGCCCTTCAATCCGTGGGCTGGGCAGCGTTTGGTTTGTGCAAGACCTTCGCTTGCTGAAAGAGCTTGTGCTTTCCTCAAACAGCTACGTGCTCACGGCATGTTTCCCTTCTTCAGTCGAGCTGATCAGGTCTAGTTTCGTTCTTTCGTCCTGGGAACCCTCCCGCCGCAATGGTCTTCTCTGTCAAAAGTTTCCAGACAATACTGGTTTTTGCGCTCCTTGCGCCACCCTTTGCGCTTTGTCTTCAAGATTTCCCTCTTGCGCGATGCTCGGTTTGGCCTGTGCCTCCAGGAAATCAGAAAGCACTGGAGTGATGCCCACCTGCTTTTGTTCGTGGTAGAGACACTGCTTGCCCAGAACGTGTACAGCAGAACCACAGGTGCAGATAGATCTCGTTCGGGCGTGAAGTTCAGATGTGGTTCAGCGAATGCAGATCTGTGCATCATGTGGAGCTGTGAGCCGTGCCGGACGAACAGCGTTTATGCGGTGTGGTCCCTGGCTTCTGTGCAGATCAAGCTGACCCAAAATGTCCAGGTGATCTTCGGAATCATGCGAGATGCAATGACAGCCAGCCTTGCCATTACGCTTGCGGCCTTGATCCGGCCTGAGCGCGCAAGTGTAGCATTTCAGAGGGCTCTTGATTGCTTCCAGTTTAACCGCTTTGTGCTCAAGGTCGATAGGTGTTTTGGACACAGCACAGAACACGGTCTACCTTGACGTTGCCCCAACCAATGCGGCGGCTCTTGTCAGCCTTGGCAATGCCATCGCAGCGGCCTCAGCCGTTGGAGGTGTCGTGGGGCAAGGCTAGGATTTTCAAGTCAGGGAAGAAAGCTACGAGCAGGGCCACAGGGAAGTTTGGGCACTTGAGTCTTCGAAGCTGGAAGATGGAAATGACATGAATTGCTTCTGTCTGCACGTGCATTGGGAGGCCACGTTACCGGGCGCCGCGGGGCCTGCTCTTGTGGCGGCGCTGCTGCAAGCAACAGGGCTTTGGCCGTTGGTCTGGGGCATCATTGCAGCCTGCCTGGTCGTTGCCTGGATGGCAATGTTCGACAACGTGAGTTTTAGAATCTGGGCTTCATCAAGCGTGATCCATCCTGACCGAGGTTTCTGCCATCGTTTTTGCCGCTGGGCTGGTCATTTGAACAGGGGCTGTTGCAGGGCAGTCCTGACATGACATGGCTGAACTTGGATCCATCAGCTGAGGCCGCATTCGGCAGCAGCCTAAGTGTCTGAAGTGACGTTCTGCTGCCAGGTGCTTGAAAAGGTTATCATACAGTTTGCTTGCGCAGGATCAGTGGATGACCTGGAGAAAAAGCTCTCCCCGAAGTACATGCAGCTTTGCTCGGACATTGGAGAGCAAGCAGTCTTGCTATGCGGCTTGTGCCTGAAGCCAGCGTGAGGCAAGTGTGACGTCAATGACAGCCACCGAATTATGCCGAGCCAGAAGAGCACGCATACAGAGATCGGTCGCCATGAGTGCTGCTGGTGGCTGCTGGCTTTTAGATCATCATGCACCACGACGGTCGACATTTCCCATGGGACAGATTTGTGCTCTCGGTTGCAGCTGCGCTGCTGCTGTCAGTCCATCAAGAATAGTGAAGACAGCTGAATGTCCTCTCAACTTCTCTCCTGCCTTGATGTCTCGAGAGCGAAATTTCAACCAGGGCGTTTTCCGCAACTGCGAAAACCCAACTGTTTCAATTCAGTGAGGAACTAATAGTGTCGTCGCTGAAAACCTCGGCTCTCTGCAGCAGTGCCCCAATGCAACCAAAGCTTATAGGCCCCCTAGTGCTTTTGAACTGTTGACAGCTCAGAGAGCTGAATGCTGCCCGAGTAGACCCGTCAAGCTCGGTCTAAGCGGAGGAGTCTGAAGCCTTCGGGCTCTCAGCGCCCAAGCCTGAAATATGCGATCTGCACGCAGCAGCGAGAAGTAGGCATAGCAGGCCTCCACCCGGCACGAGCAACGCCACCGCGTGACAGAACTTACCCGCGAGGGGCGCAGGAAGCTGAAGGCTCTTCGAGAAGGCAAGAAGGGCCTGTGCCTCAGTGTCTCAGAGCACTCGGCGCTCTCGAGCAGTGGCGGTGTGAGCGATGTATAGTAAACATGTGGGAACCCTGGAAGCCTGTGATGACAGTGTTCCGGGCTCGAGAGTGAGTGCACGGCTTTAGTCCCTAGTGACGCCAGTGCAACTTCATTTCATGCCTAGAACGAAAACCCAGACATACCTCAGCGCCCGTGATTTCTATTGTCTCTTCACGGTACAAGTAGTTAGTGGAGCATGAAGTCGCGATCGCTCAGCAGCCGACACTCAGTAGCTGTCGTCTGCAAAAGAAGCCTCCAGCTCGGCATAACTCGTGGTTTCGTTGAGCCTCCGCCATGGCCATGCAGTCGCTGGCGGAAGCGGCTCCGCGGCCAAGCTGGTCGAGACCAAAGCAGCAACGAAGCCGCGAAAAAAGGGAAGCCGTGGTGAGGAGGCCTAGTGCCCTCTCCGTCCTTTACCTTTTATGCCTGTGCTTGAGGCATGGCCTGGCACGAATTGTGGCCGGTCCGCCTCGTACTGAGGCTCGGGAGGCGCGAAACATGAGAAGAAGAGACAGAGATCACACAACCTCCAACGACTGTAAGCATCAGCTTCCTCAGCTCGTTGGGAACTCCTCAACACTCGCCCCGGGCGCCGGGTGGGTTCGCATGGGTTCCAGCAGTTGAGCTTGTATTCTGATTGGGCCTGGGAGGACTTCTTGTTCGTTCCTGTGGCCCTCCTTGTTGAGACTGCTCCTTCTGAGTGGTTTCCACTCCAGCCCAGTGTTGGCTTCTATCTCAAATGCCGGGTCTGTCGACAACCTACTGGTATCGGGCAGCAGACAATGACAACGCAAGTTTCCAAGAGTCGTGCGCAAACGCACAACTTGTCATGACACTGCAACATGCTGGCTTCATCGTCAAGGCCGAGGTAAAGGCAGTAGGAAGCTCGGAGGTGATTCAAATGATATCTTGTGCCCACCCCTGGCCGAATGAGATTCTGAGGTTTGCGAAGAAGAAGGGAACTTGGTGGCCGGGTTGGGTCAAGGGGTCAGGTGCAGACAACAGTGCACCGAGGTCACTGCGCCGGGTCCACCGGTCGTCGCTAGTACGAAAGCGCGCGTCGAAAGCTGCCGCCTCCTCCTCCTCCTGCTGCTGCTGCTGCTGCTGCTGCTACTACTACTACTACGACGACGACGACGACTACGGCTACGACTTCGACTGCGACGACGACGACGACTACTACTACTACTACTACTACTACCACCACCACTACTACGACGACTACGGCTACGACTTCGACTACGACTGCGACGACTACTGCGACTACTACGACTGCATCTTTCCTACTGCTCCAAACTGTCGTCCTTCAGATGGTCAGATTCACCGCCCGTTGTCAACGGCAGCCTGGTGTTATGAACATGGCCTCTGACAGTGTTGCACCTAGCGATGCATCTGGTGCATCTGGCTAAGCTGCTCCCCTGCCTGACTTTGAGCAGTGTATGGCGCCGTCAGCCAGTGGACCTCGTGTAGGATCCGAAAGTCAGCCTGTATACAGAAGCCGCAGCACGCGCATCATGTTCATTTCGTCTGGTGACGACGGGAATCTCGTGGGGTGCTTCGACTTGAATACTTTGGATTGAAGAGCTTCTTCCTGGTGGCTCTGTAGCTTCTTCCTTAAGAGTTCAAGGGAACCATAAAGTTTTTGTGTGATACCTATTCGCCGGGCAATCGTCCTGTCCCCGCATCGTATGGACCGGATCTGATACGGCGTCCGAGTGAGTACTAACGCTGCTGCTGCTGCTGCTGCTGCTGCTGCTGCTGCTACTGCTACTACTACTACTACTACGACGACGACGACAACTACTACTCCTACTACTCCTGCTGCTACCACTGCTATCACTACTATTACTACTGCTACTGCCGCTAACGTCGCTAGTACTGCCATAACGACAACTATTTCTACCATTATCAATGCTGCGACCACTACCATTGATGCTACTATTACTATTCGACTACCACCACTGACAGCTGAACCATTTCAGTAACACTATGCTTCCGATGTTGTACATGGCCACCAACGCCACGACGACGACTACTACCGCTGCTAGTTCTACGACTATTCATCAGTGCAACACCCACGACCCGCTGCCACGACTGCTCTGACGGTCGCCACTGCTTTTTCCCTTCTCCGCGCCAATACTTCCATTTCTTCTACAAAAAGAGCCTTTTCCGGAACAATCCTGCGACAGCGGAAGGGGACACTAAAATCCAAACCCCGACTTCGAGCTGTGCAGGTTGGACCTCCACAGGACATTCCCGGAAATCCTGTCATCGCACCCTCCCTTCAAAACCTGCAGTTCTGCAGTTTCTCAGGAAGCATGACGAGACCAGGCTCCGACTGCTGTTCATGGCCACTCGGTGAAGCGTTTCGATGTTTGGTCCGTCGTCGTCGCTAGCTGTCTCCTCATGACCATCAGCAGCCACTTTCGATACGGTTTCGACTGAATATCACAAAGATAGGCATCACCATCAGCATAATCGTCAACATTCCCAGCATCATGTTGAAAGCAGTGCCTCAAGCAACTTCAATATCTTAAGACCTTTCAGCTCACTCCTATCGCCAGCAGCGCTATCGTCATCGCTACTGTTGCCCAGATCAGATAGCATCATCTCAGCATTTGCGTTTCAAGATGCCAGAGAAACGACGATGACATCGGTCAGGATAAGCTCAACAAGAACCATGGCAGCAAGTACAGCACAACAACCACTCCAAGCAACACCAGAATCACGAGCTCCACTTCCAAGCGTCGAGATCAACCACAATTTGCTAACAATAGGATTCGGCTCGATTTTGATTGGCTCACGGACCACACTCCCTCAACCTCTGCATCATTTTCATCATCAGTATCGTTGTGGTCATGATGGTGCTTCTTACTATGATGTGTATGCATAGCTAGACTAGTTGGCATTTGGCCCTTGCCCCATGCGCAAGTAGGCAACTATCGACCATAGACCATAGGCTGTTATGTAACACAGGAATTCAATCATCAATTCGGGTTTGGAGGCGTTGCATCTCCCCCGAGGAGTTGCTTGTTGTGAACCCATATGGGTCGAATTGGCTGTGAAGGTCGGTACCTCGTAGGGAGCTCTTGTTTAGAACAGGCGGATGTAGGTCTAGATCCCGGACGGTTTTCAGCCGAGGAGAACCTGCGGGCTTACAGCCGAAACGTGAATTCTGCCCATGCTCACGGCCGGACTTGCTCTGGGGACTGGGAGCCTTCCCTGCAAGCAGAGATCGTAGAGCTTTGCGCGTTCGACTTGAGTGAAAATTTGATTGCATCGTGCATGTGAACATGTGGCCTCTGGGGATGGTTCTGTTCATTCTGAAGAGCCCGGTCCCAGACATACAACCCAGGCTCGATTGGCCAAACAAACGAACGAATTTCATGGTCTCCTCCCCGCAATTGACGACTGCTTGCATGTTTCGAATGCAAACACACCCGGCTTTAACTTCACATCTTCCTCACTCGCGGCTCATGTTCTGTGAACGCACAAGCTGGTCGTCGGCATGGTTTGTTGATCAGTGCGCAACAACTGCCCGGAAGCCGCAGGCATGTTCCAACCGTTTCGGCGCGCCTCGCCGCATGTTTAGGCCATAAACAATGAAACCCTCACGTTCACATACAGGCTGCTCTCTTGGTACCATGGCCTAGTAGAAGTTCCACGGCTTCTTAAGAAACCCTCAGTAACCGGATCCCAAGTTCTTGGACAACTGACAACTGCTGCTGCTACACCTTTTCAGGAGATCTTCGTCGACGGCAAAGCGTGCGGGTCCGTGCATATCCATGCGCAGATGTATTCTCGACGCCGCTCGCATGGGTTCCAAAGCGCGTTCTCAATTTATTCAGAAGTCTCCAAACAGGAAGAATATCTTGCTTAGCCATGGGAGTGTACACGCCTAAACCTATATTATGATACGTGTTATGTGGGCATTGAGTCCGCAGAGACCCCTGGATGAAGTATCTGCATGTGTAAGTTTATGTTTGTAGGGCAGTCGTCTTCATCCACAAGGGCCTCAGAGTTCGACGAATCTCCAGCCTCACGTGTGTCGCTTCTTAGCAGTCGACAGTCCTCAAATCCAAGTCATGCAAACCCTAGGTCGACAGACGCTGTTCTCAGTCACATCGTCAACGACCGATGTCTTAATAGGTCCTTGGCCAAGGTGAATCTCCTTGTAGCCATTTAGAGCTTAGCATGTTGTTGTTATTTGTCCAGTAATAGCCTAGAAGTCACAAACATCATGGTTAATCATAATGTGTACCACTATTCATAATTTTTGTGTCGGTTCATACGTTTGCACAGTCATAAATGCATACATACACACAGT